AAAAATAACAATGAAAATTTGTCTCAGTACAAAGGCTACATTACTATTGAAAATATACCAGCATGAAGAAAAGGTACATATTTGACAGTAGAAAAATGATCTTAGTGAATCACAATGTCTAAAGTCTGCAATGAAAATAAATCTGCAATAAAGATTTATGCCTTTTTTCTTTTCATTTTTCTTTTTTTTATATACAAACAGTACAAACAGTATTGCACATAACAACAAATAGTCGAGGTTAGGTTAGCCTTCAAAAAAATCGACTAGTTCAAGTCTCACAACAGAAAAGGCCACAATAGGACCTGTTGTACCCAGGGGCTTCTTAATCAAGTTGCAGTTCAGAACACCTTATTTTAAAAAATATTTTTTTTGAAGGACCCTCTTAATAGAACATTAATAACTCAGGGGCACATTCATGTACAAAACAAAAGGGAGCATGTTATAATTTAATAAACTAAAAAAGTTCTCTTTAAAAAATACAAACAGAAGAACTCTCACAATTCTGGTCAGTCGTGCATAATCACACTTGATTATAAATATACAAATTAAGGGAAAATATTTCTTCACCTTCTATTCACAACTTTCAGCACCAAATGGAGTTTGTGTTTACACATTTTCTTTACGACAACTTTGTTGTTTAGTTTTAATCCAACTTTATGCAGTACTGTACATCTTCATCTGTCTCTCTCTCTCTCTCTGGGGTGTGTGTCTACATGAAAGAGGGGAATTTCTTCAAAAAGGTTTACTTATTTCACATAATTAGGTAGATTTCTGTAGGTTAGCTATGATCTTTAATATTACAGTTATAAAGCTTTAACTTCTTCATTTTCAAAAAACGCAAATAAGCATGAAAAAAATAAAGTTACCCATCTGTTAAATCATTTTCTTGCAGAATTAAATTAATATATATTTTTCTGAATAAACTTACTTAGAAAATATCATTTTCTTTCCTATATTTCAAAATTGAGGTATTGCAAAAGATCATGTCAGTCAGAAAGCATGCCTTTTTCTTTAAAAAAAATCATTGGCCGACTGTTGAAAACTGTCTAGATACAAAAAGTAGTGCATAACAAAATGTCTTTTACAGATGAAAAAAAAGACATCTGGGCTGGAAAAAACAATATCACCAAAAAGCCCAGAAGTAACCTTGAAAGGGATAATTATAATAAGCATTTTAAACCAGTAAAAAACTATTTTTCTTTTTTCAAAAACAGAAAAGTTTCTTTCAAAGCCAATAATTGCAACTACACGTTGACAAAAAAAAATCTTACTAAATTAGACACAAACAAGGACATCACAACAAACAAAACCCAGAACATTTAAATCTACTATGCGGTGTCATATCCAGTCAGATTGTCCCCAGAACTGCAAAACAAAGGAGGGAGGAGGGGGAACAGTGTACACAGTCTCACAATCATAAGTACACCAAGTGTGTTTTTATGCTATTATCTACAGTCCCATAGGACATGCTAAATAAATGTCTACTGTGTTAGCAGGTCTTAATTGTATTCAAGCATCACAGGATACATCCAGGGATCAAAGAGTTAACGCCATACCCAGAAAGCAGACACCTCATATTAACTTGTGTGCAGACATTTCTTTAGCACCCCACTTTTTCCTAACTTTCTTAAAAATGTGCCTAGTTTCTCAGTTTGACAGTCTATCTAATCAATAGTGTATGTAAGCTAGTATGAGCTCTTTGGTTCTCTGGACAAGGTCTGCAGCTACAGAAATGGTGCAAGCATTAGGAGAGATATTGTAACTAAGAGCTCATGTTTTTGTTTATATGCCTGTTATAAACTGTCAAAAGTGTGTTAATGTTGGATATGAGGCTTTAACAGTTAAGTTTGATCACAGTACTAGACATAATCACTTTACTATATAAAATAAATTGCACAATATATAACAGAGCACCGCAAAGTACTTCATCTACCATCCACAAATTTGTTTTAAGAATATCCTACATCTACTTTTTATATTTGCTGTAATATAGGTCATTCTGTAATGGGCTGATCCTAATTTCAGAAGCATTACATTTACGGAGGCATGCCTTCCTCCAGTCAGTAATCATTTTTTCCTTTACATAGATTCTTAATTTGTGCATTGTGGGCAGGTTTTATATTAGACATATATAAAATTTATTGCATGCAGCAACCTGATTAAGTAAACATGCAGTCAAAAATATTGACCTTCCTTGGAAGCTTTCTGTATGCTATACTGATCTCCTTTCAGCAGCCACTCTATTTTTAATCACATATTCATTTTTTTAAATTGATACCCTAGCCTGAATAGAGTATTATGGTATTAGTAATACCATTTTAATAGCAGCAAAAGCTATTGCAGCATACATTTACATAACACTAAAAGACCTAAAAAACAAAACAAAAAACCCTCAGCAAAACAAGGAAAAAAAAATCTGATCCAGCTTATGAGGTATCATCCTTACAAGTCAAAATGGAGAGCAACTAAAGGCTTATTTTCTTTAAGGGTTATTCCTACCTCTAAATGACCCAAACTAATGATTGCTGAATATCTGTTTAAGTTTTTGCTACATCTGCCACCTATTTGTGAGTATTACCTTTGGTAAGTCATCTGCTAGGGGCAAGTCTAAGTTTCTGAAAATAAGTGCATGCTCCAGTTCAAAAATAAAAATAATAATTATAATAAAAAATCTTCATCACATACACATCAACCCAGTGGTGGCTGATGAGAATGGCAGTCTACGTAATGTCACTAGTGACAAGTCTTATGTAGGAAATTAAGGTACCAAGCAGATGTTTGTGTGAATCAAAGTGCAAAATCAGTACAGTTACACTCTGCCGGTTTATATTATACTGGACACTGAGTTCAGTAATGTGACTGTAAATAATAATAATAGTAATAAAAAGACCCATATCTTCGTTAAAGTCGAGGACAAATGCACAGATTTCCAGAACACTAAGCCCTGAGGCAGCGTTCTCTTCTTTTCCCCTCGATTTTATCTACTCCAGTACTTGCTGCTGGGTTTAAGCATAGGGTTCAGCTCCAGCGGAATGGAACGTGGCGTGGCCGGTCACCTCCCTCCTTCACCAGTGGTTTGTGGAACTCTCGCCCAGCACGAGAGTGGATGCTTGCCCAGCAGTATTCACAGTAATACTGCAAACAGGTAACATTGGCACAGAAGAACGGAGCAAATTTTCCACCACAGCGAGTGCCCTGGCATTCATCACACATCTGATCATCCAACACATATGGCTTCACTTCCACCTGTAATGGGAAAAGAAAAATTACTATAGGAAAGGCAAATGCTTTACATAGATCTTTCAAATGCTGGTTAAAGGAACAGTATTTTGATTTGTCCTTTTGAGATCTCATTAATGCCTTTCAAGTTATGCTGGTTGAACCTCAAAAGGTTTTGTGGTTGAGATGCTTATTAAAACCCACTTTGGTGAAAATTTGAAAAATTTGGCAGAAAATCCCATTAAGAAGTTTGCTTTGATAGCTTTCCATAATTCCTGCTTTCAACTAAGATGGAAATGTGTGAAACTAGTGTCTCTCGCTCACTCTCAGAATTTCTGCTTCTGGGTGCTAAAGCATCCAGTTGTGCAGATGCACGTCAGAGTTAAGGAGCAGGAAAAAGTTAACTTATATTGTTGAACCTCAGCTGTTTGGGTAAATTCTTGTACCAAACAGAAAGCAGGGATGATCAAACAAGTACAATTACCATAAAATAGAACACCAACAATAAAAAAGTTTAAATGCAGTATCACAATTTGTACAATGTTTGGAAGAGTCACTATCTCAACTATTAACTCTAGAAATTTTCAAAAAATGGAAATCTGAATGCACCCATGGTACTGTAGGTCCCGAAGGATGCCATGCTAACTGGTCCCAGTTTGCCATATACTTTAATAATCTCTGTGACCAAAAGGAATCAGGGAGACTCTTGAGAAACAAAAGAATTAAAGGTGCAAGACAGAAAGATATTTATTTCTCTATTATTTTGTAGGGTGCAAATGGGCTTTAACAGTTGACATCAGCTGAGGGTCTTGAGTGGATTGTCCTCTTGTAGAGGATCTAGGAGGTGGCTGGTGATAGGGTTCTCTTAGTGAGAGAGCCAGAGCTTGAATTTGATGACCTTTTGGTTACATTGCAAAGCCCATCAGTTTTCATACAGTTTCTAGAGAGGATTTGATTGGGGATTTGTGGAAGTTTTTAGTTTGGGATGTTCTTGTACATTAATTTGTGGACATTGGTTTAATTATGGGAGGTGTTGTGATAGAGATTTTTGAGTTATTTCAGTTGTTGGATTGTAATCTACTGGAGATGAACGTGTGCGCTAATATTCTGCATGTGCACCCAGATCTGTGGATGGGCACATTTTAAAGAAATCTAACTACCTAAACCGATTGATAGAGATCTAGAAATGGCTATACAATATGCAGCCTATAGTGGTCCCACTCAAGCCTTTAATTCTGGCAGAAGCTCAATATTTCTGGACACTACCACTAAAGCGGCACATATAACCAGGACAGATAGGGTTGCCAACTGTCTAATCCCACAAACCCAAACACCCTTGCCCTGCCACGCCCTTTCTCTGAGGCCCCATCCCTGCTCACTCCATCCCCCTTCCCTCCATCGCTCACTCTCCCCCACCCTCACTCACTTTCACTGGACTGGGGTAGGGGTACAGGAGGGGGTTCAGGGTGCAGGCTCCGGGAGGGAGTTAGGGTGCAGGAGCGGGTCCTGGCCTGAGGCAGGGGTGCAGGGTCCAGCCAGGCAGCACTTACCTCGGACAACTCCCGGAAGCGACTGGCTCCTAGGCTCAGGGGCGGCCAGACGGTTCTGCACGCTGCCCCTGTCTGCAGGCACCACCCCTGCAGCTCCCATTGGCTGTGGTTCCTGACCAATGGGACCTGCGGAGTCAGCGTTTGGGGCGGGGGCAGCACGCAGGAGCCAGACATGCCAGCCACTTCTGGCAGCCATGTGGAGTCAGGGCAGATAGGGAGCCTGCCTTAGCCCCGCTGTGCTGCTGGCTGGACTTTTAGCGGCCTATTAAAATCTCTCGGATTGGTTTCAATAGCAACCGGGAGATTGATTCCGATTCCGGGAGATTCCTGGCCAATCCGGGATGGTTGGCAACCCTAAGGACAGACTGGAACTGTTCCTAACAACTTCTCTATGTTCAGTGTTTTGCAAGATATTGGTTTTCTCTTGTGCGGACCCCTGCAGCCCATCTTACTCATGGCAGTGCAGCATAAACCGCATCTACATTATGATCTAGCAGTTGTGGCATTTCAGTACATAGGAATCCCTTCCCAGCTGCCTAGGTACATACCATGTAAGCAAGGTAAAAGAAGCAGAGGGTGGAGGTGGAAGGAAGAGTGAAAAATAGAAACAAAACCACGCACAAAAGCCAACCACACAGTAATGAGGGTAATATATTCCCAGTGTTCTATATAAGAACATATAGATTATTAGATAGATCTTGTTTTTGAAAGTGGCTTTCATGAGAACATTTAAGTGGGAAAACAATATAGTTTCTGTGTTAATGAAATATCCCTTACAGACGAAGGATACAAACAATTCATGGATCTATTTCTGCACTAGTGGGAAGATTCTGTTTTTACTTTATGATGAAATATTACATTTCACATAGTTTGAGATAAGTTATAAAAGATTTGCTATTAAGAAAGTGACCATTTCAAAGCTGCGTATACCCTAAATATTTTCCTGCTGATGGGTAACCTTGGATTATAGCCACAGTTATTACACGTTAACCAACAAGCTATTTACCTTGGGACTTAGCTATATATTTTGATCAGGAATTGGGGTGGAAAAGGAAGATTTCTCTTAGCTCTGGTGAGTGCCAAAGTGGTTCAGCATACTGTCCTCTAATTTTGTATTTCATCATCATAGTATTGCCTGTACACATTTGCGTGATTACTTTGATATAGCTTTGCTTTAAAAGGTTATTTTTTTAGTACCAAAAAACCCTTTGGATTTACGTTAAATACGAAGCCGACCCTCCCTCCCCCCAAGATGGATAAGTAAAAATTGAAATTTTTTTTATAACCCGTTCATAAGCTGCCCTATAATTCATGGGTCAGCAAACTTTGGCTCCCGGGCCAGCAGGATAAGCCGTTGGTGGTCCGAGATGGTTTGTTTTCCTTGAGCATCCACAGGTACAGAGGTAAACAGTGTCCCGGCATGCCAGCTGCTTACCCTGACGGGCTGGGACAGCAACTTGTGGGGAAATTTTTTTGGGGAGAGAAGCTGGGAGTTGGGGAGTAACCCCTGTGACCACCCCCCACATGCCCCCACCTCTAGCCCGGGATCCCCACACTCTCCCCATCCCATCCCTTCCCACCTTATCTAGGAAGGGCCAGGGGAGGATGTCTCTGACCTGGCTGGAGCTGCTCCGGCAGGCTGGGCAGCACGGCCACAGCCTGCTCCGGCAGGCCAGCGCGGCCGCAGCATGTTCCAGCAGGCCATACTGGGTGGTGTAGCCGCAGCATGTTCCAGCAGGCTGGGCCGGGTGGTGTGGCCGCAGCGTGCTCCAGCACCTAGGCAGCGCGGCCACAGCCTGCTCTGGGGGGTGGGGCTGAGTGGCATGGCTGCAACCTGCCAGCCCCGGAGTTGCAGCTTCTTCGGAGGCTGGGGGGAGATCAGCATGGCCAAAAGTGGAGAAACTCTGGCCCCGCCTCTTCCCTTCTGTCTCTGCTTGCTGTGCTGCCTCTCCTTGCTCCCTCTGATGGGGGGAGGGGCTGTGTCCCACCTCTCCCTCTCTATTCCTGTTCATAAGCCGACCCCCATCTCTGGTGCTTCCCTTTTTTTTACTAAAAAAAACTTCGGCTTATGAATGAGTATATACGGTATATTTCCGAATATTAAGCCTTTATTATGATTTGGCCTTGCTGACATTTCAGTGAAATAAATGTTGAACATAACTAGAAGAATCGAGGGAGAGTTAGGGTCCTTTGGCTGAACAACCCTATATCATTTCAATGCACACTGAAGGCTTTTATAATTTATCAGTAATACCAGCATAAGCCTTTTGTAAATACAGGAGAGCTACTGTCTCTTCCTCTATTCATAGGGAACTTACTTTTTACACCTACACCAGTGTCCTATGAGAAGGTGCCACTTTCATTCTCTCTCTCTCTCTAGAGAGAGAGAGAGAGAGAGAGAGAGAGAGAGAGAGAGAGAGAGAGAGAGAGAGAGAGAGAGAGAGAGAGAGAGAGA